GTTTAGTTATTAAATTGTTCTTACCTCAAACCATGAATCTCTTTTCCCTTTATCTCTTTAATTCTCTCCCCCCTTCCCTTGGAGGGTGAGCAAGCAGCTGTGTGGTGTTTGCCTGCCAGCCAGGTTTAAACTACAACAATATCACAACTATTGTCCTCACAAATAAGGGGGAAATCATAGAGCACCTTAATAAAAGCCATTATTTCTACCCATCATATGACATTTGAAAGGTCAATTCTGCAAATGGGTACCATTTTGCTCCTCTGAGCTATACAGATTCAAACGAAGACCCAATATGTATGTGAAGTTTTTAAATGGTGTCTCCTCTTCCCAGTTCTCCTGAACAATACTATTTAAGGTTACATTTATTTGAAATTTGTCATCCTTTTTTCATGTAGTTCCTCTCCTGTTGAGGGATTTGGTTCCCTGAGTGGTTCTGAGGTTACAGAAGTATCTTGCTCATATGTCCTTTACATGTTCTTATATTATTCTTTTTACTTTAATCTCATACTTTGGCAGGGTTTCAATCCTTTCCCCTTAATCCATTGTTTCCTATTATTATTTTGACCTCAATTATTCAGTACTGTCGAGGATGTTGAACCCTATTCTCTTCTAGTGTCAGGGCTCTGCAATTCCTTTCCTCTTGGAAATTTATTATTTTACCTTTCCACCCCAGCTAATCTTACAACTTGCCCTCAGTTTGTCAGTTTACCCATCTATTTAAGCACTTGGCTCTTCTAGAAGACCTTTCCTTTGTCATGTCTGGCTGCTTTACAGCATGTCATTACCCACAGAGAACAGTACAGTTGATTCTTGTCCTGTGGGCTGCCCAAAGGGCACTACATTGAGTGCCATGTGAGGGCTTCCCATGGCCTTGTACTACCTCTGCCAGGAGAGCTCTGTTAAACGTTTCCCTACTTCAGTACCACAGCATAAATACCAACTCCACAGGAGTGCTGTGCAAGCGAGTTTAAGAAACAGATCATAGTTTAAAACAAAACAAAAAAAAGAAAACAAAACCACAGCCATGCACAGAAGGCAACTTTGCCCACTTCTAAAAAACAAAAACACTCACTCAGATCCATTTTTGCTGTGAGCAACATTTGCCACCAGAAAGTCCTTCTGAGAAATAAGAAAATGGGCAGCGTAAAGGACATTTACTGAAGATATTGCTATGCAGGGAGGAAGGTTCTGCAGAGGTGAAGAAAAATAATTTAGGAGTTATATGCTGTGTTTAGGTAGAGACCCATCTAATCCAAGCACAGGCCCTTGAATGCTGTTTATACAGCTACCCTAAGGAAGAGAGGCATGAACCAGGCTCTTGCACTTTGCCAGGTGCTGTACAAAATGCTAGCAAGTACCCAGTTCCCAGTGGAGTGCAAGGGATAAAGCAGCAGCACAGGGATGTCATAAGTCTTTGTAGCTCTATACCAGTCAGGACTAAGCCTGTTCAGATAAAAAGACGGGTAAGCACTGGAGTGACTCACTTGATCCCCATAAGCGTGACGGCCAATGACAATGGGTTTCACCCATCCAGACACCAGCCGGGGAATGTTCTTGCAGATAATAGCCTCCCTGAAGACAGTACCACCTAGGATGTTTCTAATTGTCCCATTGGGAGACTTCCACATCTGCTTCAACTTGAACTCCTCCACTCTTTTCTCATCAGGAGTGATGGTTGCACACTTTATGCCAACGTTGTATTTCTTTATGGCTTCAGCAGCTTCCACAGTTACTTTATCATTTGTAGCATCACGATGCTCAATACCCAAGTCATAGCTGTAACAATTGCACAAATATGGTCAGAACTGCCCAGGACATTTGTTCACATCCAACAGGAAAGAAACTAGACCCCATATGTGCCTGTGAGTGTAGTTCCAGCACTATGCCATAACTGCAGTTATCCCTCTTCCAGTGCAAATGCTGCTGGACTGGAAGAAAACGAAGGGTCATATACTGATACTTCTGCTGCTGGTAGGAGGTTGGAGAAAAGACATCTTCAGTTTACGGCTGAGGCACTCTGCCAGCATGGGACATAGCCAGTATCTCCTCTGCCTTTTGAGCTTCCTGCAATGGAAGTTTTCAGTGTGGGATTCTAATGGCATGGAGCAGCACAATCCCCAGATGAATATGGGCCTTTATTTCAAACCTCTTGTGCTGAGAGTTCTGGCTTCCTTCATGTACTGAGCACATGAAGCTACACTAGACTTAAAAACTGCTCTGACAATGAACTTGCAATCGTGCTCTGGCAGCAAAACTGCCAATAGTCCCCTCAAACAGTCAGAGGAAGCACGTTTCCCACACTCCCAGTTTTAATAGCTTTTGGAGAACAACGGCTGCCCAGCGTGGGACAGCCCTGAAGCATAGCCAGCTGTACATGAATCTAGCCATTGTGCTGCCTCAGCCAGGGGTCTGCTTTCCCTCTTCCCACCCCTCTTTGGAAAGGGATGTTCTCTAGACTGTGTGCATGTATTATGCTGCTGGGTTCCTGTTTGTTTGGTTCTCAACACCAGCAAGCAGAAAGCCTGATGTAGGTGGTATACAAGTGACTCCAGAAGCAGGGGAAGAGGTCAGACTTGTGGGTTTAATAATGGCAGATACCATTGAAGGCCCCTGACCACATGGCTAGCAGCAATGCAGCTGGATACTTCCCTAATAATTATAGCTCAGTAGCTAGAAAGGGAAGACATTATTCGTTCTGCTTGACCAGATGCTGTAGATAACATGTCCCTTTAGCCACACCAGCTGCTAGTATTTTTTTTTTTTCTCCCAGAAGAGAGTATAGGAGCACAGCCTAGGCTCAGGGAATACTATCTCAAACTGTCAGTAGCAGAGCTCAAGCTTACAGACATCAGGGCAGAGTCTGTACCGTACAACCACCCTTTTGCCCTCTGGGCAGGTCTTCAAACACAGATGGTGAGAAGCCATTAACCTACTCCGAGTTCACAGATGTTAGGTTTCAAGTCAGGGAGTGGCTGAAACACCCCACGTTTCTAATTGTTTAGGCTGCAGGAAGCCATGCAGACTGCCCAGGTGCTGGAAAGCCAAGACATAGGAGATAAAAATGCAGACTCTCTCATGTCTGTGAGAGACTTTCTTATAGGCACAGTACAGGAAAATACACCCTAACTCAAAATTAAGCATTCACTGCTTACTGCTGTGAGGAACCCTAGAGGGGCTGCCAGACCTTGACAAAATACCTTCACCATGAGCCCCTGCTTTCCAGAGTACTTCGTGAGGTTGGCTATAGGTAAGTTAACCAGGGGAGTCTGCTGGGAACTTTACCAGTACAAAACCAGATAGTTAGCCTCTCTGCACTAGTGTAGGAGGAGGTATAAGGCTCTCAGTGCTAAGTGAAACATAATCAATGCCTAATGACGCACACAAGTTGCAGTACAAAGTGGCTGGCTGTTATAAAGAGCCATTACCTGTGCAAATCCAGATCTACATAAGGAAAAATCAGCTTTTCTTTAATCAGTTCCCAGATGACCCGTGTCATTTCATCTCCTTGCATCTCCACAACTGAGCCTCCATTGATTTTTTTAGACATCTTGAGCTGCAACAGACATAAAAAAAACCCAACCTAAGTTAAAAACTGCCAACACACATCACCCATACATGTATTCTGCATTTTTACAACACAACTAGAACATAGAATACAGGATCTCTCCTAAAAGTCTTGAAAATAAACACAGTTTATCCCTAGTTTCATGCTAACTGGTATTTGTCTTAAAGCCCTAGCTCCTAAGGAGATATGTCAGAGGATAAAAATAAAGGCTAATATCTGAGATTTAAGCTTTAATTATGGTTGTGCAAAAGAATTTGAAAGCATGACAAAACTCTTCCCCCAAATTCCACAGAAGTAGATTCAATCTGTTTATTGTTAGATTTAATGAGTTCTAGTCCAGTTGCCTGTTTCTCCCCCTTTTTCTGAAAAATGGGGCTTATGAACATTATTTTAATGACAGCTCATATTGTTGGCACTATTAAGATAATACATTGTCAGCTTCTTTATTAGCTTCCTTCCCCAGGAAGGAAGGAAACAGGTACAGAAATCCAAGGGCCACATCAAGAGTACTTTCTTGTGGCAAGCTTTATTTCTGCAGTTAAAATAAATACTGGACAGATTTGTTTTCTGTATGGAACAGAGGTTTCCCAAGTTATTTGTTCACAAGGCCTCAAAAAATAAACCTGAACTCTGCCCTTCTAGTTATACTTTGTTCCTTGACAAAACCCAACCCCCAAAGCCACTGAGCTGCTCTAACACACTGCCCTGCTTTCTAACAGACACAGTTCCTTGGTTCTCAGCTCTGATTGTGCAAGAGCTATGACTTGGCAAGTTCCTCCTCCCAAGACAGCCCCATTCTTGTATGCGGATCTTAGGATACTACAGTGAGATACCAAGCCCTTGTGCCTGATCACAGCTCTAACCAGAATGAGGGATCCTACTGTACACAGAGTCTATTCGTCTAGATGAAGTTATTCAGAGGTGTGAGGTTTGCAATGCAAGGGCCCCAAGTTACAAGCACGTGAGGAGACTGCTCCCTGGTTCAGGTTTTGTTTTAATTAAACTACCTTATGCTGTATTTCCAGAATCCAATCCATTAAGCATCTTTAGTTTGGGAAGACAATAAACTTTTAAAGCTGTATTCTAGCTACTGCACCACACTTTTACAAAGTTTTTAAAAGCAAAAATAAAATTTAAGAAAAAAAGTAAAACGAGGTTTTGAGTTACTAAGACTTTATTTACTATGAGCACATAAACTTGAAAAATTAACTAGTCTGAGGCACTCCTGTAACAAAGAAAGATATATTGGCTTATATTAGGCCTCTCTAGTTCTCATGGAAAACAAACTTCACATGACCACACTCTGTCTAGAAACCATTCATGCAAGTATTTCAGGCCCAATTTTCAGTTGTGACTATCTAAATAATGACTGTATCATGCTCCCTGTGGCCTAGGCACAGATTACTACTTGTGAGACTTCAAATTTGCTTTTGGCACTTACACAGTCTGAGAAACGATCCTGTTCATTTAAGCCAAAATGTACAGACACCTACGCACCATGGCTTGGTCCCTACTTAAACAAGACAAGTCAAACTATGTCAGTCATAGCAATAGGTTTTGCAAAGCTGGCTTCAGGGCTATATGGTGCTGCTGTCCGAAGGGGAACACAAAGGTACCATGAGATACACCTCCACCAAGATACATCTCCACTGATATGTGGAAACAGGAGCTTCTTGAAGAACTCTGACAGGATCCTACATGTTTATCTAATCACGGCCCCAATACTTTCCCCCTCCCCAAACACTGATGTTCCTGGTTTCTCTATGTACGGGGCAGCGTTGCAGTAGCATCCCTCTTCTGCACACCACAGCCAACATGCCAAGAGGTCCCTCTGGAGAACACACATTCCCTAAGCTCAGCTCTTTCCATCACTCTCCAAAACGGCCAGAAATCAGCAAGGTCTTTCTCCTACAGCAACCCTTCTTTAAATACACTTATCCAGGCATTTAGCCAAGATAGCTTAGAAGAAAATTAATGAATTTCCAAACACTCCTTGGGTCTCGGGAAGGACTCAGGGCCTACAGCCAACAGTTAACTATTGTAACAACTCCTTAATTCAGGTTTACAGAAGGTCTCTTCAGAACAGGCATGCTCCCAGGGCAAGCAGCGCAAACCGCTGCCGCTGCCCGAGATCCCGCCCGCACTCGTTTCTCGGCCGCGCTGCCGCCCGTCCCCGAGGACGCGGTGCGGACC